ACTGCAGGTATATGAGACTTAGGTTGTTTGACTTTATGTCAAGACAAAAGATAAGCGTAATATGGGCAGTGAAAGTCAGATGCTCGATGTCGTAATACCTTAATCAGTAACCTGAAACAGTAAAAGTAGCAAGAACAATATCCAGCGACTACAAAGGTATGTCCAGATATAAAACAAATATTGCTATTTGTATTGGTAATCGGTGACACTAAGGATATATCCTGAAAAGTGGGAGTACTAGAAAGAATAATAAAAACGAAAACCACGCGGCAAAAACGACAAACTTCGAACGCAGCGCCAAAGTTGCCCGTCGAGGCACTGGATAATCCTTTATTTCAACATCCTTCTCTCTTCTATTAGTCGACATGTGTCTGTGGTGAGCCACTGTTTGCCCTGTCTATTCTTTCTACCTGGAACTCCCATGCAGGTTTAACTCCACATCGCTTTCAGGCTGTTTCAGTGTTTTTAACGCTGGTCTCTTCGTTAGCGTTGATTTGTGTCTCCGCCTTTTTTCTTATGTTTGCAGTGAAGATTTCCTTTGTGACCTGGTCCTTCAGTTTTTGAGTTTTGAACTGGGCTTGTGGTTTATCTGCAGCTCCTATTTCTTTGAAAGCTTTTGGTCTGATATGGAGTGTTCTTTGCAGGAGATAGTGGTCTGAGCCAACGTCTGTTCCTGTTCTTACTTTTGTGTCCAGTAAGCTGCGTCTTCACTTCCTTGAGATTGAGATGAAGTCAATTTAGTTTTTGGTTTGCCCATGTGCTGGCATCCATGTAGCCTTGTGGATATCATTGCGCTTGTATACGTTGCCGCCAACCACTAGTTCATTGAAGGCGCAGAAGTCAGCGAAGAGTTCGCCATTTTCACTCATCTCTCCGATAGCTTCTCTACCCATAATGAGTTCTCTTCATGTGTTATCTGGTCGCAGTTTGGTGTTCATGTCGCCCATTAGAATTCTAATGTCACCGACTGGGGTATTGTCCATTGTTGCCTGTAGTTGTCTGTGGAACCCTTCTTTTTTTCGAGATCTGTGTTATTTGTGGGTGCATAGCATTGTACAACTGACACTTTCCTTCCTTTTGAGTTGAATCTGGCGGTCATTATACTGGCCGAGATGACATCCCATTGCACCAGGGCATTCTTTGCCGTTGGTGACGTCATGATAGCCACACCCTCGTTGAGCTCGTGGTTGTTTTCTGGGTGGCTGGAGTAGATCACTGACTCTCCCATTGACAATTTTGCGAGTTCACTCCCATTCCATCCGCTATCATATATTCCTGATACTTCAGTACCAAATCTCTTCATCTCATTTGCATTCTGGGCATCTTCACCAGCCTCATACATAGTGCGGACGTTCCATGTTTGTCGCAAGGATACTCATCATACTGAAGTTTCTGTAGCATTTTTGTTTACACGGTGGGGTTGCTGGCCTCACCCATGAGGAGGAAGTTGCTACATAGATATGTAGAATTATAGGTGTTAGTTAGTGTTAAACATTCACAACATGCCAAACAGATAGTTGTATGTATTGCCGGTCAACAAGATTATATCCACGGATTCAGTGTTCGAAAGGCAAATAATTAAAATTAGTTCCACAACTTTTTGACAAGAAACTCCAGAGAAATAAGAGTTTTATGTAACTGAGCAACTGTAGCGTACTAATTGAAAGCGCGTCAAGGTCTATCGTAAAGAAGTACATCTTTAGTATTTGAAGGTGCAATGTTTCAAGGAAGAAACAGTTTAAAAGGCTTCTTGGTAAAAGTCTTATCAGTCAACTAATTATATGCCGATTATACAGTTGCTTATATATATACGTATAGTCTAAGAGGCTTCAACGTAAGAACAGTGAAAAAATGACTATTGTTAGTGTAACAGCTTCAAAGAGTTCCAACCGACGATCCATAGAGCTGGTGTTGTTACATAAAGACCAATAGAAGCAACCCAGAATATTGCGAAATGAAATCAACTCGAAAGTTTCAGAAGACAAACTGGCAATGGTTACAGTACCAAAAGTTACAGCCTCAGAAAGTTATGGGTTCAAACGGTTAAAGATTCACTTGTTGCAGCTTCATAGTTTCTCATTTGTTCCAGCCTTCTACTGAACAGCCAACAACTAGACCACAGTAGGGATTCTAAGCTTCGGTGGAAACGAAATCCGTTTGTACATGCAACGTTATTCAATATAAGCAGCACTGACAACTATATTTTATCATTTTTGTTACCCCTGAGGAAAGCATAGCTTATTTGCATTCAGGGGCCAAACAATTCGTAACAAGCCAAATAAACCATTCAGCTGAATGAGTTTAACAAATACCTTGACAGAATGACAAGCTTCATTGCGCAGATGACATTTTAAAACCAGAATGACACACTGAGGCAACCTACAGACTCAGGATTCAACTCATTAAGAGACTTCACAACAATCACGAAGAATAGTGCGGTGGGTTTAAAACTGGTCTAAATCTTATCCGTCAATTAGAATTAAAATTTCATCTCAAAAGAATCATAATGTCACAATTATACCTGCGTGATTTCATATAACAGCTTTTTCTCTCTATCCTTATGTTTAAAGAACTTGGTTATGGAAAAGCGTAAACTACGCTATCGATAACATCACAAGACAATGAACTGAAATGAATCCATGTAATCAGAGCACTACGCCAGATGACTTCTCGCAGTGTTCACATTCATGCATTCATTCACATGATAGTTAAGTTATGTGGACGATTTAAATGGACAAAACTCCCTGAAATTCTTACTTGTCCTCCGTTTTCGTTATCTTCTTTCGAAGGCATTACTTGTTTTTCGCATAGAATTCCCTGCTATTGGCTGATGATATAAAATAATGGAAGTTGACGTATCGATTAACTTATTAAAAAGACGGTTGCAGAGAAGAAAATTTGCTTTTCGACGAAGTCATCAACTAGGCTGTACATTCGTGTACGTTGAAGCCTCTTAGACTATACGTATATGTATAAGCAACTGTATAACTGGCATATAATCAGTTGACTGATAAAAATTTTACTAAGAAGCCTTTTAAACTGTTTCTTCCTTAAAATATTGCATTTTCCAGAACAATTTTCGGTGAAGGGTCAAATTAATAAAATTACAATCAGGAATTAAAATGCCATAATAAACAGGGGGACGGATAAAACTCAAACAAAGTAGCATCACAGATGAGAATTCTTGTCCCCAGTAACTGGCTTAGCAAGGCAAACATATGAGCGGAAGAAAATCATCTTGTATCATTGTCAATTAATACGCAATAAAAGTTGTGAGTGAAAACACAATAAAGAGTTACTTAGGCGTAATCGCACTACCTCATTACACGAAAATGGAGTAGACAGGCTCTTAACTGCTAATCACTGTGTTTCTGTACGTCATTTGTAAACCGAAAGTTCGGTAGTGTTGCGCTTCAAAGCAAGAACCCAATGAGGGTTATTACAAGAGATTTTCAAACCATCTATGAATCTGTATGCAGAAACCGATGTAGTGGAAACTCTCAATATGTCATTTTACTTTCAGGGGGTTGCATTGTCAGAACAGGTCTAAGGACGATTAGTGACCACTGCCTTAGGAATAATATGCAAAGCATGGGTGCGTCGGTGGCACAGTGGTTAGAACTCCCGCCGACCATGCACATGGTCTGGGATTCGATCCCCTGCCGACGCACACTCGATATCTATGGTCGGCCTGCAAAATTTGGGCTACCGATATCCATGCTGAAAATTCCATACTTGTACCAAAAATACGGTGTGGAATCAAGCTGTAATAAAAAAATAACGGGAAATGAAGGTGCAGTGCAGCTATTAGAGATCCTGCTTCCCCAAATATCAAGTAACCACATCTCTGTCCTATGAGTTTGTTGCACAGATAAACAAATTTGTCAGTGCTGATGAAATTGCTGATACTGAAGTTATTTTCCGAGTTTCCTTGGTCACCAAGGATAAGGAGGTACTTTTTTCGCTGAGATATCCGTGCTGTAATATTTCACAAACTTGTCAAGCACGGGATATCTAAACAAAATGTAATGGTCAAGCTTTAAGAATAGTGATGAAGCAATCACCCCTCTACATATTATGACCTCATTGTCACGGTCTTATTGGAAGTTAACTCTTCTGTACTGCATTCGTCTACTTCTAAATAATTTATGCTCAAGGGATAAACATAGAATGTATATAAGATTTTAAATGTACCAGTATTTTAGGAGGATCGAATTAATAACCATGAATAGATAATACACGTTCCTTTTTTAATGAGCATAGACCAGTGGACAGTCCTGAAGCTGAGAAAACTGAGTCCATTTGAGAAAATTCTTAAAAAAGCAGTTTCAGTGCCAGACTTTAGGAAAGGTGGATATATTGTATCATTTCCATCTGGCAACATCTTTGGTTTTACTTTAGGTTCGTTAAAACGAGTTTATAGATTGTGTATACAGTTACTTTCCAAACTATTCATCGCGATACGGGTTTAGAGAACAGTCACTGAGAATACTTTGGTTAAGCTCCAACAAATCGATAGACTCATACAAGTGTGTCACGAAGATGTTGTACATTGAGCTTTGGAGTAAACTTCATTAATCCTAGGTATTCTCTTATCTTTGAGTTGTGAAGTGTATAGTGGTATAACCAAAATCCTTTGTATCTGAGTAAATTCCTCTTAGAATGTATTTGGACACCACATAATAACGGTTTCAGGAAATGAAGGATTCCAAATGAAGACTTATGAGACTTGTTTAACTTCACGCACCTCCGAATTACAAAATTCTTTTTATGAGAAGTGGTGATTTAAATACTAGAAAACCTCGATTATACCACTTTTTCTCATCAACACTTAGTTTTTGTTTGTTCGTTCTACTTTCGCTGGTCGGCCATTTAAGCCAACTGATTGTTGTGACTGCGATGTATCCTCACAATCCTTATTTTGGAATAGCTCCTCAGTATTATGGTAAGTCGTCTAGAATGACGTATATGATGATATAGGATTTGTTGGTATTGCTCCTATGGCACCTATGGCCATACCACCACCACCTGTGGCCACTATTCCACCCGTGATTACGACACCAGCTGCAACTGCAGTTGTGGCCGCAGTTCCTGAAATTCCTTTGGTAGGTTTGCGCGTTTAATTAACATGTATTAGCAATACGTTCGAGAAAAGCCTCCAGTCACTACAGTCTTCGTTGGCAATATTGCTGAGTGTGCTCCAGATCAACTCATCAAGACGTTACTAATGGTAGTCTACATGTTAAGACTTACTAAAATTTCTTTTCAGCGATGTGGGAATATTCTTAGCTGGAAACGAGTTCAGGGGGCGTCTGGTAAACTCCAAGCTTTTGGTTTTTGTGAGTATGAGGACCCTGAGTCTACAATGAGGTGCGTACGTCTCCTAAATGGATTTAAAGTAGGACCTAAACCTCTACTGGTAGGAATGCGATTAGTCATAACTTTTGCCAAAGGTAAAAGTCGACCCTAAAACTGAGGATTTGCTGAATGAATATAGAAAAAAGAAGGAAAAGGTTGGTGAAGAGGGAACCTTAGGAGCAACTTCTGAGGAAGTCGATCAGTCAACTCAGCGCGATGACGAAACCGTAAAAGCGGCACTCGAAAATATTATAGCAGAAAGTGCTTCCTTATTGGAAGATGAAAGTGAGTCCTCATCTTATAAAGTTTCATATTTCAGACGGTGGTAAAAAACAAGATCTTCACCTGGAGGGACCACGCCACCTTGTAAGTTTTTTAGTGGTTAATTAATCAATACTGAATTATCATTTAATCACTGTATCACGCTGCAGTTATCTAATATGTGTTTATTCGCCAAAGAAAATCCACATATTTCTAATATTTTTTCTCATAACTGACTCAGTTATTCATACTCGTCACATTTTTGTTTGTCGTAGTGTGCTGTTTCCTCATACATTCGTGTCAGATTCTATCCAACTGTTTCCGTTACTTTCTTTCCGAGCAGGTAGGCAGGTTGGTAGGTTAGACTTGAGTGCTACGAAAACTGTTTGAAGTAACAGTGCCAAATAATCAAATACAAACGTAGAGGAACCTTAAACTGGATGTCTTGGACTCGTTCGTACTTATAATAAGATCAACAGTCTCACCAATATTTTTCCTTTTCTTGCGAGCTTTTGAGACCTTAATGAGTTTTATGAGACGATTGTTGAGCGTCAATGCTTCTATTTGCTTCATCTCATTGTTTTCTGTTGTCCTAATGAGTTGTTACCCAGTTTGCTAGACACTTAACTAGACCTTCCTTTGCAGGTGACGGATGCGATAAATTGTAGTCTAGGTATCTATAAGTGTGTTGGATTTTTGTGGACGCTAGTGTATAGTTTACCTTCTGTTTGTTTTACTTTCTTCTCACAGATGATTCTTTGTTCATTCTCTGACAACATACTTCAATTATAACAAGCAAAATAACAGCTTGAGTTATTAAAACACGACATTAGCACTATCTGCTGGAAATCGTACAATACGAGTACTAAGACCATTTTCTGCTAGTTTTGTGTTACATATAGATTTTCGTAAAAAAGTCAGCATCTTGCAACTCCCCGAATTGTGTTTCCTATGTCCACTAGTCTGGTAATGATACCTGAATATTATCATTATCAATATTATTATCAATTTAGAAACTATTAACCTCTACTACTGATATTTAGTAAGATTGCAGTGGTAGTGGTTAATATAGGAGGTCACTGATGCATATGGAGCAGTTTTTAGTTATTTCAGCATTTCGTGCGTGTTAGAAACCGGTCAGATTTCAGGTACATCATCTTGTCCCATTGCGAGACGAAATTACGTGTAACTTATTGTGATTAACAGCTTTACCAAAACAAGTGAATATTTCCTATGGCTTATTTTCAACTGCATTTCTCTTACTGTCAAATCACAGTAGGTTCTCACGTAATTTTGAGATTTAAATTGATCTATTCGTCTACCGTTGATTTTCTTTCCAGACTATTGAAGATATGGACCTTGACAGTGACCGTAAAGACCTGATCAATCGTGAGATCGAGAGCTTTCGGAAGCGAAACGAGGTAAAAATATACTCTGCCATTTCTTTTTTGGTACAGATTGACAGTTTCGACTGATTTTCTGAACCATTCTTTTATGTGTGAATATGTATTGCATTGAATCAGTCTTAGTTTCCTTTAAAGTTGATGTAAGTTTACTTCTTATACTATATACCAAGTAGATAAGGTCAATTAGTGTTAGTTCGGTCCATTCACATAGTTTTTTTTCCGTCTCAGCGTTATGGAAATCCCTTACATGGGATATTTAATTGACTTTTAGCATGGCGTCTGTCGTGTCAACCTTCAGTTGTGTGCCCTTGCCAGGATCGGTGAGTCTCTTACGATGATATACTGTGCTATAGTATTGAAGAGCAACCGCTCTATTTTTATTGTATTGCCTGTGCAATGTATTGCTATCTGTTTTCATTTTGGCTTTTGAATGTTGTATTTTGAAATCATCCGCTTTCTCTTGAGTCAGAAGGAAGATCAAAATGATACCAAGCAACCACGCTCAAAAGTTTCAAATTCTGGGCGTCCGGGGCTAACAACCATGCAAATATATTCGGCGTATGCTGAACGCGTTGAGCGGGAATATCGTCGAGAGAGGACCCGCAGAAGTAGAAGCCGCTCAAGTTCGTTGGCTTCCAGCCGGTCGCGTGGACCAATAACTAGTTCTTTTGTGATATCCAGTAAAGATATTGATGAGGAAGAAGAGGCAATCAAAAAAAAGTTAGAGAAAAAGCTTCGTGAGAAGGAAGAGTCATATCAGAAGGTTGGTTTTTGTCTTGATTCACAAAATTAATGATAGTGATTCCTATTCCATAGTATCTCTAAAATGGTGAGCGAGTGACACAACAATTCCTGTGCTGTTTATCTGGTATTTTTAATATAAAGTGTTTACTTTCTGAATGGGAAAACTGGTAGTATATTCTGTATATTTTAATATAGTGGTGTTACAACAACAGGTATCATTCGATGCTAATTCCAGAATACTCGAAGAATGAGACCATGAACCGCACTTGATGTGTCAGTTGATGCTACACAGTCCCAAGCTGAGTGGGACTAAAATTCTTTGGCTGTAAGTCGGTTGCTTAAGCTGATAAACCACATCCACACCGTTGTACAAAACAACAGGATAACAATGGCTGGTTTTATAAACTACCCTCAGAAAATTAAGCCCTGTCTGTCTGGATTCAACATAGAACTTAGCACCGAAGTGCAGCAGTTCGAGTTGCCACGTTCCAAATAGCACACAAAGGTAGACAAGAAAATGAGTGAAGAGAATCAATAAAGTTTTGACAAGTATAAGAGTGAAACAGAATGAGTAATGGTAGAAAGGAATATGAAAGGTTACACAAGAGACTGAATACATCTGCGCCATTGACAACGATTATGGGCCATGTCACCTATTGTCTCCAGCCATTGATTCTTAGAGTCCTGAGGGCCCCAACCCGGAAGTTTGCATCTACCTAGCTGACTCATTTTAACTGTCAAAGATTTCATAGATTGATGCCATGTTTCTGTTTGGTCATCACTAACTTTTCCAACCTGCACCTATATCAGCTAGTAATGCCCGTCGGGGGAGGCGATGGTTAGGCATGCGCAGCACGTGACCTAGCCATCTCAATCTATGTAACTTTATAGTCTCGTCGATTGATTTTCCCTCTTTGCCCAACACTACGCCTAACGTCAACATTACTTACCTTATTATACCACCTAACGTGAGAAAGAGATCGTAGACATCTATGATCAAAAACAGTCAACCTTTTCATGTCTTCAACTCGTATTGGTCATGTTTCAGAGCCATAGAGAAGGACGGAGCGAACTGCTGAGCAGTACACACATCCCTTGGTTGATAGCCGGATGTCACACCTACGCCAGAGATGGCGTAAGTTAGCGAAAGCAGCTCGAGCTTTTTGGATCCGTGCTGAGATTTCGTCACCAATCAGTCCGTTGGTGCTGATACAACTTCCCAAATAGGTGAAGTGGTCAACATGTTCTATCACTTCACTCCCTATCACTAAGCTAGGAGTTGACGTAGTCCAGTCCTGTAGCAGCATCTTGCATTTTACAGGGGCGAATCGCATGCCAAACATACGAAACTTAAGCCCTCAAAAATTTAAGTCATTCAGACGGATTGAGTAAAAACCTGGTGAATAAGAAGTTATGCATGTCATCGACATCTGTGAATGATCTCATTGATCCCTTCAGAAATGAGTTTGCTTCAGAGATTATTGCAAAATAAGTATTCTACGCCCAGCGAACACTTCATTTCGGATGTCATTTCATACACTCAATACTAATATTTATTCCGGTGCATTTCGCTCACTTGTAAACGGATAAAAAGCATAAGTGACATGGTAATACCGCTCCAAGCTATTAAGTAAGTGTCCGACATAACAGGTTTATTTTAGAACTAAAGTTCTCATAATGAAAGCTTATAGCAAATATTTGACGTATGAAGATTTAGAAATTAGTATGTGTAAAACTTGGATGTTGTGGCGCTTGCGCAGTTCGCTACTACACATTCAAACAGTGTAGTTTACTGAGTGGCGTTTGAACAGAATTTATTGTTCATAGTCACATCAGTTAAAACTACACAACTTCAGAACTCAAATTTTATAGTTCTCGTTTTTCGTGCATATTTGTTGTAAGGGTAGTGGATTTTCCACACATCCGGGACAGGTGGTGAATTATTCCTACTGTACATATTCTCAGATTATTTGATGAATAAGGAAGGCTTCGGTTGTCAACCCTGTTACTTTATATTCCGAAACAGTCTTTATACTTAAGAAATGAAATCATTCCTAAAAATCTTTGTCAGTGAGCTCTAATCCCGACGGATAAAAGTTAGAGCATCAATAGAAAGACTAGGAAAATGTATTTGACAGAAATAATACTGTTTTTCTGTTTCATATATCCGATAGGCAAATTTATATAAAAATTCAATAATTTAATGTATGCCATACTGTAAATGTTGATATCACTACAGTGTGGTTTGTCGGTCCATTTTGTTCTTTTGTTATTTATCACTTCATTTTTCTGCTAAAATTCCTCAAAGTTATCTTGTGTTCTACTTTATTTTACTGTATAGAGATTAAAACAATGGGAGGTGCGTGAGAGAAAGAGAGCGAATGAATACGAGCACGAGAGAGAGCACGAAAAGAAGCGACAACGTGAATTACAGATAGAGGCACAGAGATTAAAGGAGTTTTTTGAAGATTATGATGACAATATTGAAGATCCCAAGTATTACAGGTTAGCGGTAATGCTTGTTTTTTGTTGGTAATTTGACATCCACCATTATTGATGTATATACAGGTGTTTTAATTTTAGGTCTAACAAGTAATCATTTATCGTAACTATGTGCCGTTGCATTCCCCTCGTTGCAACAGTATCTTCGTACAATACATTGCCCACTAATAGCTGTTGCAGTGGTCTCCATCAAAGCTGCATTAGTTAACACCCATGTTTAGCTGTTTCAGAATGATTATTTGAAAAACAGTAAGATCGAATCAACTAATTTAACAAAAACGGAATAACTGAAAAACAAGTTGAAGGTTAAGAACAAAGCTGCTCTGATGGATTTATTGGAGTGTGAAAACAGTTTTGAGTGTCACAAGTAACAGAAGACAAGAGACTTGGTATCGCACTTTTATTTAGTAAAAACATACATTCTTAGTTGCATTAAAGTTCGGCCAGGTCTGCATAGAATACATTGTTCTGATTGGTTAGCAGTTAGCCCAAGGTTAAACAAGTTGTCCAATAGATTTTTTCATGTCTACAGCGTAAACTAAATCCGGATTTAAGGAATAAACACTTCTACCTCTGCAACCACTGACTAAAAATGTTAATTTCAGTCTTGACTGCTTCTTATCAATCTGCATTACACTGCGCACGTAATTATCACCAGCAGATATAACCTTGTTGTTAGAAAGCGAAGGTGTCTTTTAGACACCTAAATCACTTGATTTTCAAGTTTTTATTATTGGAAAAGACTTTTTCGAATGTTATTACAATGTTAATGTAAATTGGAAGTGTTTAGTAAAGTTTCACTAAACTGGCATATTTGACCAAGGTTTACGATCTGATTGTAATTGTATGTTCATATGTGGCTTCCTGGTCGCACCTTATTACATATGTTCATTCATGAACATTTGAGTCCAGACGTGTATTACTTAACTGAAAGTTATCAAATAGTCTCATGAATATCAAGTATGTATTTAATATTCAGCCAGATAACATGTAATTGAGTTATACATTTCAAAAGCAAGTTCACTTTTAATAGTTTGTGTATTTCCCAATGAATGGTAGGCAAAAGATATTTTTCTGACGTTTCTCTGTTTAGTGCTGTTAACAGCTTTATCAAAGTATTATTAAGCCAGAATTTGCAATATCTCCGATCACATACAATAACTTAATCATTGTTCTTCAGCACGAGGTAATTATTTAACGTTGCCAAGTTGGTCAGCTGGCAAAGATAACAAACCGTGGGTACTGTTAGATTTGATAAGTGTATGAAATTATAAAAACAGCATATGTTCACATAGTGAAATTGCTTATCAGATTTGTGTCGATTATGTCATTTCATCAAGGTGAGGGGGCACTATGTTTCGACCAGTTGAAGTTCTGTCTTAGTCCGTCATCCAGATAATTTTGATTCCACTCAATATAAAGTGCTTCTGATAGTAGACATTCTTTGTGATTTCTGAAATTTTTCTGGATTATTTCAATATTGTCAAAATCAATTTTATGGTCTGATTCTATAGTGTGTAAATATATAGATGATGATTTTTCAAGCTTTTTTAGTTCAGCTGGATTTCTCGGTGATCGGACAGATGCTCTATGGTGTTCACTTCTGATCCTGATTTCCTGCGACACCTGTCAGGTGTATGTTGCATCACATTCCAAGCTTTTTATTATATAGACATCATTAGGTTGTGAATCCTTTGGAATTTGATCTTTTACATGGATAAGGTCGCTTTGTAGTTTGTGTAATGTTTTGAAGAAAACTCTGATGTGTTTATTGAGTGCTCTTCCTATATTGTCTGACGTTTCTGATCTATATAAAATGATAACTGTTAAGGTCTATGTTTTCGAAATATGTTTTCTACTGTGTTTAATTTTGGTGTTGATTTTGTTAATGAAGTTCTTTGGATGGTTATTCTTCTTGAGATTCTCAGTAATATTTGATATTGCTTTCTTGTCTTCGTCGTCCCTCTCATCCGTTATCATTTAGCGAATTGTCAATAAAAAAATATCGTTTTGTTTTTTCATTCACTGGGAAATACAAAACTTTAATAATAGTGGACTTGTAACTGAACTTAAGTTTTGTAATTTAGAAGATAGTCTTACGTTTGAGTTGTTTAAAATAAGCAGTGCATTTGTTTATCAGAAGTCAGTCAGAAGAAATTCCCGGTCACCTGAATTTTATCGTCTGATATCTGGTCACTGAGTCTGGTGACTGGTGCCAAACTTAAACGTTAGAGTTTAACTGGAATTACAGACTTGTATTACCAACTGGTGACTAATGCAGGTAAGCGGTCTCCGACTGTGCTCCTAGATAACTATCTATATAATTTGTTTAACCTTGCAGTTTTCAAAGTTCCGATTATGTTGGGAGTTTACTACACGATTAAAGTTACGCAATTTTTTTTTTTACATTCAGAGGAAGTGCACTTCACCAGCGTTTAAAAGACCGTGAAGTTGAAGAAGCCGCCGATGACCGTGATCGACAAAAGGAGGTTGAGCAGCTTGAAACAGCTAGACGCAAGCTAATTGAAGAGGGTGATCCAAATGCGGAGTCAATTATTTTTCAAATGGAGCAAAAAATGCAGGAGCATCTCAGGAAGTGTTTACACCTCGATGGGGATATGTCTATTGACTCTATTGAAGACAACAATCAATGTGTTGAGCCGGTTAGTCAGAATATGTCGAACGCTGAAAATGAGGTATGTTATTATGGTATATTGTATAATCACTTAAGTCCGCCGTCGTTCGTTATAAGCTGTCGTAGACTCCGAATCCACTTTCCATAGTCTACATTTTTCGAATTATTGAAGTTCTTACAGTTATTAGAAATAGTTGTCAGTCTGTTCCTAAAAAATATTTACTCCTTCGTTTGCAGGTTTGTAGGTTTTTTATGCATATGTTCTGATTTTCTTCAAGTAATCAGGTGGTTGAAATATGAAATTGTTCACTATCACCTGGCAAATACTCTAATTATTGTTGTACTCATCATAATTGTAAATATTTGATCATTTGTCTTCCTTGTGGTGAATTTGATTCAATTTTAAAATCACTAATAACCCAAATTGAAATACATGATGTTAATAAAAACTGAGCTTAATCATAGAGAACAAAAAGTTAAGGTTCATTGGTTATGTAGGCTGTTTAAGTTACAGGAATTTGAATTAATTGGTAGGCAGAAATGAGAGGTAATCATCTATAAACAAGATTTTATTTACCGACACACTTCTATCTTACTCTTGATGCTAACATCGCTTATGTTGACATATAACATGGGAAGAATTATCTTGCACGGTATCGTCTTATAGTTACATTTTCAAATAGTACATTATTTGTGCGAGTTGCAAACTTCCGTGAACAAATAGGGATAAGAATTCTTAGTAATATAATAACCATATTTTATGTATATATATCTGATATTCGGCTTCGAATTTTGTGTCAGTCATATTTACGGTTTGTGTGATCAGTGTATTGTGATTCTCTATTGCAGTCTAAAGACACCGAGTGTATGGTTAAATCACTTGAAACCAACAATTTATCACCAGCGCGCAACGGTGTCACCTCAGAGTTCGAGCCCGCTGCCCCCGAGGAGACAGGCGTCAGTATGCTAAAGGATGGTACCAACACCTTTTTATTTTCAATGAGCACAGGTAATTGCGGTTAAAAATTTTGATCTGTCTGCTATTGATCTTGTTATATTTTAGTGCTTTTAATTCATAGTTATGCCTAATAAATTTAAGGCATACTCTATGCTGTTAATCATAATCATTTTTAAAGCATTATTCACAAATTCAAGTAGACCGTAACATCATGGCACAGTGAAGAAAATTGGAAATGGTGGAAGCCTGCATCCTAGGGTGAAGGCGGTAAGTTGTATATGTCCATCCAAAATCTGAATCCAGCTGATAAGACTTGATGACTGCATGCATTTTCCTCGTTGACGGAGCAATCAGTTTGCTTATAATCGTCAGGGAGACTGTTGCTTTGGGATGTAAGTTCATTGTGAAAGTTATTATTATTATTGTTAGCTCTTGATGGAAATTTTCAGTACCCTGACATGGAAATGAATTCATTTTCTGGTACATACGCTTAGGATTTCGATAAGTTGCCGGTGAAGTTTCTTCTACTGTGTACACCAGAAATGTACGCTAGAAGGATGCTACATTATGAGACTGGACTCAGAAATCGTGAATAGCTAGTCACCTTTGACCTTACTATAAGGTTAGATACTTTGATGCTTCTCAATAAAAGTAAGTGTTCAGATTTTAAATGTATCTCTTGATGTCTTTTCATACGTGGAACTGCAGTTTCAGTCGCTTAGATTATCTGTTTTCTTTTTGTGTGACAGCTACGGACAAACCATAAAATGTCTGTGCTAACTATTAGTGTGCTTGTTTTTGATGTGATTCGATCCTCCAGTTAATCTTATGATTCTCCAACAGTGATATTAATTTGACGAATTTTGACGGTACTGTACACTTAATGGGAATATCGTGTTTAATTTCCAATTATTTTTTTTGGAATTCTTACTAAGTAGTTGAACCGGTAGTCCGTAAATCTGCGTTAGCTTTCACTGATGAGGATCAAGATGAAAAGCCAAAGAAGCATGGCCTTTCGTGGTTGCCACCGTCAGCTTTAAAAGCTAACTCCATGACTAATAATTCTAATGGTACTGATGCGGCTCAGAATGATCCCAGCAATCTACCTCCGGTCTCCGCGCTATCAACAGAAGAAAAGAAAGCCATTATCAAGAAGATTATTGAGGGAATTCCTACTCATAAGAGAGAGTTATTTGCCTATCCTATCGATTGGGACATGGTTGATGCGGTAAGTGTGATAAATTTTTGTATGTTGAATTCAATAAGTTGTCAATTTCAATTGATGGTCGTTGTTGACTAGTATTGAAATGCTGTAGGTAATACCATGATTCTATTAGTATGATAACTAAACCTATGTTTTGCTTCGAAGGTCTGGATTTCGTGGGTGATTTATGTCTAGTGTCACACAAACTCGAAGACCTATAACAAAAAACTAACAAGCAGGCAGAAGAAGCAGCAAAAACATGACTTCTAGTGAACGCAGAAGAGACGGATGTGATGATGAAAATAACTAGCCATAACAACAACCACCAATCACTACCAATCGGGGGGGATTTAAACGAGATCACATCCTTCCGTCATCTAGGTATCGTCGTTTCAGCTACAGGAGGATGGCACGGATGGAGATGTCAAAACCAGGATCAAAAAGGCAAGGTAAACCTTCCTCATTCTGAAATCAGTTTGAAAATCTTCTGCACTCAGCATAAAGAACAAAATTCTGATTTTCAACTTGACGAACACGTCACGAAAATCACTTCCAACAGGGTTGCACACTTTTTTCAACAGCTGATTTCGTTCTATATTGTAGATCAAATGGCTAGAAAAAGTTAGCAACAAGAAACTCTGGGAACAGACTAAACAAGAACCTATCGTTCAACAAATATTCCGAGGAAAATGGAGCTGGTTTGGACACACGCTGAGGAGACCGTTTAGTGACATCGCATGCAAGGTTGATCGTCGAGTGAGACCCAAATGGGAAACGACTAGTGTGGGGTCCTAGAGTCACGAAAAGGAGATCACGCGAGGAGGAGGTAAGAGTGGTGTATAGACAATTGTGGGACCAGCTACAGAGGACCGCAGAGAGTAGGAAAAATGGAGGTGTGCTGTTTAAGCCCCGTTTTCCACTAGGAACCTAGGAGAACAATAACACAATATTATATAATTCGCTTTGAATATTCAGTGTATTTAGATGATTATCACTAGGATATTTCTTTTCCTTCCTTCTGCTACTTTCTAAAATTCCATTTAGTACTATTAGTAAAATAAGCAAACCGTCTTTGGTTTCTGTCCCTTTTTTCAGGAATTCGTAAACTCCCGAATAAAGCCTTGGGTAGATAAGAAGATTGTTAGTTATATTGGTGAAGCTGAAGCTACCTTATCCAACTTTATCTGTGATCAATTGCTACACCACAACCCACCAGAACGTATCCTCGCTGATATAGCTATGGTAGGTAGTGCTGCATATATATGTTATTTTTATTCTTGTTAATTCTTGTTTTTTAAACTTTTTTATCGCTTATGATGGGATTAAGTCACTTTGAGGTTCTCATGGGAACACTACTTTGTTTAGAAAGACAATAAAAGATTTTCGATGAAACCATTCCACTTGAAAGACACAACGACAACAGTCTGAGGTATAAGTCTTCTCAATCATTTTCATGTATACACTTCATTGATAGTCTTCCAATACCAGTGAATCATGGAATACGTTAAGGATTTACGTTTTTCTTCTGATGTATATACGGTGGACATATTGCATGTGTTTTCTGTGGAGAGCTTCGTTCTCCTATCTTTCTTGGATAAGTCATACAGTTTCATATCAGTTTGTTTTTTCAGATGTAGGATACAACTCTCCCATAGTCGTCACACTAATTTTTCCTGTTGCCAATATATTCAGCAAGAATCGGGATTAGTTTGTATTTTCATTTCTATGCTTTATTGAGTACTTGTCCAGTCACTATGAAAATATATTATAAAGATTTTGTAATTTCTCATTTTATTTTTAGGTTTTAGATGAAGAAGCAGAGGTGTTTGTTGTCAAGATGTGGCGTTTACTAATTTATGTGATTGCAGAAAAGAAGGCTGGACTAAGCTCCTAAAAATGACTTCAGATGATTTACTTTTGTACAAAATTTTTTTTCTATTATCTTGATTTGTATAAATAAACTGTATACATGACCAGAGGACTTTACTTCTCCCTTCAAAACTATGTGTTTGTAATACTCTTTTATATTACAACACGAGACTGACTGACTAACTAACTAGTTTAATTAGGTACAGAAATCTGCATCACTTTTAACCCTTTCCTATGTTGAACAACTGAGTGTATGTTGTTATTATTATTTACTGAGTGAAAAGATATTTTAATATCTAATTTTCGTGTAAGTAGTAGTAGATTCCGTTTCTAAGTACAGTATGCTTCGTCGTAGATTACTGTCGAAATTCATGTCGCCACAATATTCGTTGAAGTTTATACAGACTTCAGAATGTTTTATCCTGTCCTGTCAGTTGTTAGGCTTTCCTTAATTTATCTTGTGATGGTGAAAATAACCCATTAGATAGTAATATCAAGGGATTCTTACGCTTAGTTCCTAAATTTGTATTTCACCGAAGTCCAGATGCATTTTGTGACTGGAGATGTCGGTTAGAGATGATGAGCATCGTCCACATGCCAGGCATCTTTAGCCATATTCTATTTTCAGATAATTGATTACTGTAGGCGTGCGTGCGTTAGTTAGTTTGCCTTTCATTCCATAAAACCTTCGATGCAATGTATCACATTCTCATGTCCTAAGAGGATCGTGTTATTACCAGACACGACTATGAGTTTACTAAACAGTTTCATAACCAGCCGGTAAACTATACAAACAACCGTTTATTAGCCGTAAACATCGCATTGTGATTTTTATTAAATCCAATTAGGTTTCGTGTGATAGATTTATGTCTTCAGAGGGGAAGATATCTGCTTTATTTTTCGTCGTAACCTAGGGTTAGCTGCCAATACTATTGTCAACCTGTATAAGAGTTACAAACCTAGGTGGAATGCTAAGTCGATGCGTTGAAATAGTTCAACTGTAACCATGGAGACTGAGTAGTTTGAAAGCTGCAGGCTTAACTTAAAGCGTTAATTAGGCTGGATTTAAGTATTTGTCATTCACAACTGTAGACAGCCAAATATAAATGACGCGAAGAATCCATTACACTGATCCCTTATCTCTAACTAAATGTTTTTGAACATTATTCATGTACTTATCTGAGACTTCCAGTACCAGATTTGCTTGTTTTTGCCGATAATTTTATTGCTGCCAATGGTTTTCACCTTGCAGTTGGACATTTGTTTCAAAGTGCCTCTTTACTGATTGAATGGTTAGCCACATCTTGTTTGGTCGTGCAATCCAACTTTACTATGGTACCAAGTCTCCACGCGTAATTTCCGATTTGATGTTATGTTGGTAAGATGCAATGTTCGGTGTATGAGAGGTCGTTTATAATTCTCGTGCTAGTTCGCAACAGCTCCAATTAAATACGACATCAATATAGCTGCTGCCTCCAGCCTTCTGTATTAGGCAACTGTTCTGATATAATAAAATGGCTCAATAAGATGTTTCTTCAGGGCCGCCAGTGAATCGCGAAAACTTCTTAATTAAGAGGTTTTGTCTTTTTGTACTTTAGTGGATGCACTTAAGTAGTGCTATCAACAATCTTTCGGTAAGATTTAAACGAGAAGAATTATTGATCAGTGATGTGAATGAGATAGGCATACATCAATTTGGCCTTCTGAACTCTTTGGTATTGCCCTATACAAACTGATTTGTATAAATCATTGTGTCATTCCAGTGAAGGTAATGAATACAGCTGACATATTCATGTCACTAATATGATGTTCGTCTAAATTTGTGTTAAGCACTCCTGTTTTCAGTTGTTGCGAAAGCTTCAGATTGATTAAGAGTTATTATATTAAAATTTTTTGTTGGTAATACTAGCAGCTAGTCTAGAAGTGCTAATAATTGCTTTAATTCCAATCACATATACTACTATTAAACTACTGAAACCTACAAGATAAGAAGCAGTATATGCCAAACCACTTAAAATCCTTCTTTTGGTATGTGTGGAATTATTTTGACAAAGTTTGTTTAGATAAACCTGTCGTTATTCCGTACTTCAGCAATTTGGTACCGACTGCGTCATATTTTATTATAAATTTATGCGGATAAAGGTGTGGGTTCATAGCATTCTAAAGGAAATGCAATGTTGTAAAACAAGAATATTGATTTATCTATTCTGGATGAAAAGAATGGTACCTTAATCGTTGGTTGTTTTTCAGTTTCAACGTTATATCTACTTTATTTTTGGATTGTTATGCATTGTAGTGACCTAATATTGCAGATATTCTACACTTCATATACTGTTAAAAGCCATTGTTTACTCATAACATTGTTTTTTTAAATCTTACTATCTGAATGAATGTTAAATGGAATTTCTGAAAAACACTATCTTAATTCTTCTATTTTAGACACCTGGAGTCGCTGCAGATAATGAATCGAATCCATGTTTAAACGAGGATTTCACAATGCGGCGAAGTTTATTTAGTCGGTTTTTAATTTTTTCAAGATCATTCCATTCGCATTGTAGTCATCGGTTGATGAATTCGAAACCCTACTGTTCAACAAAGTTCAACCGATCCTTATTCCCTGGATTGTTCTTTTCATTTACATTTGGTGTACCTCTGTGTGTATTACTGAACTATGTAGTTTTGCCTTTATCTCTTTTGATTTCTGTTTTCTTGCTACTCTTTGGTTTCTGGTTTTGTTTTCGATTTTTAGAGCATTTTATAGTTTATGCATGTAATGAACCATCACCGTCTAAATTCTTGTACACGAATCCATCAAGTTGTGGATTTACTACATGGGAACTAGTGAAATTGTCCCCCGACGGGAAAAATGGTCCAACAGTCATTGGTATTTTTCTTCTACAATCGAATTTATGCAGTAGGAAAACTTGCCCGGTTGTGCTTCTTTTACACGGAAATGCTGGCAACTCAACATCTCGTCTACCAATGTGTCAAGTTTTAGAATCTCGTTTCCAGTGTAATATTTTCATATTAGACTATCGAGGTTATGGTCAAAGTACTGGTAGGCCAAGTGAAAAAGGACTTTATGCTGATGCTAAATGTGCTATGGACTATTTAACATCACGAACGGATATCAATACGGCGAAAATATTTTTATTCGGTCGATCATTAGGTGGAGCTGTGGCTATTCACTTAGCTTCAGATCCTAAATCAAGTGCGAAGATATGTGGTGTCATCATTGAGAATACATTTACTTCAATATCTGAGACTGCCAGTCATATTCTAAACATTCCATGGAAATTACCATCATGGTTGTTTTCTAATCAATACTCATCTTTAGTTAAACTTCAAAATTGTAGTAAGACAAGAAAATCAGTTCTTCTGTATCCACCGATGCTACTTATCTCAGGGGAACAGGACAAGATTATCCCGCCGAAAATGATGTGGAAGCTTGCTGAAGCTTATGAAAACATACTCGCTGAGAAGCATATGCTGAGTAGTCGAAGTTCCGATGTTGTTATGCATCATGACAATTTTTCAAAGCGAAATCCACTTTCCCAAGATCCAAATACATTTATCAATTCTGGGATAGATGGTCTTGTCAGTTTCCCCGAAGGTCATCATAATGATACATGGTTTTGTAATAATTGGTCGGATGTTATTTTACGTTTTATGGAGCAATCCAGTCTACGTATCAGAAGTAGTGAGCCAAGTGAAAATGATTTCCACTTGTCTGTTTGAGTTCTCTGTGGGGAGTTTTTCTTAAAAAATATTAAATAACGCTATTTTTATCATTTTTGCTTCTAATGAGAATGTAGTCGTTTTTACAGATTTTGTAAACTAATGTTTTTAGAGCTGAAATTGTTTTTTTTTTTTGGTTTTCTTAATTATGATTGATATTATTCACCCCTAATATCATTTTCACACACGATTTTTAAATACTTATTGGTAACAATCGATTTATTACGTGTGTATCACTGTACAAATTAATGAATCAAGCCAACATTTCAATTATTTATTTTACAAAATACAGGCACATTGCTTCGAGTTTGATACATGACTCTCAGGTACAGAATATTAGTCATCGGCACCCAAAGTATCAAAGTGTATCACTTATGTGAAAGTAAACCAATAGATAATCTAATGAATATTTGTTCTAAGTTCGACCACAGATTAATTTCAAATAGAGAAACATTGAAAATCAGGAAGAAGTGAACAGCTGCTTCACTCTAGTTTGGGGGTGATCGATAGTATCCACCCACTGGAGTTCGAACCTGCTGTCAGCGGGGTCTACCAAGTCAGGTAAGAGAACTGTTGCTTGCCGGTGACATCGACTGGCGGTCACGTTAAAATCATGAATACGCGGAGGTTAGAATTCATGGGCCGTTGATTCGTGTCCCAGTAGCTGAACGGTCGACAAGCTTGTCATGTAACCGGTAGCTCCAGGGTTCGAAACCTGGTGGCAGGTGCGTGCTGTCGAAGGGTCCCAAACTAGAACAAGACAGCTGCACACTTCTCCTTCCTGGGAATCAGTGGTTCTCTAAATGATATCAATCCGTGGTCAAAATTAAAGCAAACTAACTCTTGATGAATATTTGTTTGAAACATATTCAATATGGCCCTCTAGACATTGGATTAGTAGCCTCCGTCAAAGGTACAGTGATTTGCGTCAGCGGCATAAAAAGAATGATAAATGGGTCTTTATACCTGAAATTAGCAGCTGTCCTGAAACTTATGGCTAGTTAAATCATATTTCACTGCAAATTCAAAAACCGTTTATTTTCGTACTGCCATACACTGAATCATCAAGCTTGGTGTGTGGTATTCACTAAGGTGGGAGTTAAAAATGTCGCACTTATTATCCGGTTTATCATAATGCCATAGAAAGTCTACTGGTCAGTATATATGATTATAAAAGCCGTTGATTGAAGGAAGACCAATTAGTGGCACAGATGCATCTGCTTCTCATTTTGTAAATTGAGCATGCTCTGTGTATTTCCTCTATTTTCTCCCATCGCCTTTTTTTCTAGTTCTTTTACGTCACTAGTTATATTTTGGTAACTCCTCCTTCATTTATCGTGATGTGAAACGTTACAACCTGAACAGAGGGAACAACCCATCGAATTTTTTTGTGTCTCTTGGTATACGGCAGCAATAGTCTAATCATTAGCAGAATGTGTAAAAGTATCGCCTTTTGAAAACCCCTTACCGAATAAATGTGCACATCTGTTTGTGCATTTTCGATTTGTTTTAAATCATTCACTAGGTGGCACTAATGCTATTACTCCTATGACTGGTTAATAAATCAATATTATGACATGTATTTGTAATTTCTCGTTGTTGATTTTATTACGTCAAATCGATCTATGTTTGCTGATTTCTTGTTGTTCTCTTTTGTTTCAGTTCAGCCTTATTAACTTCTTGATTTTTAGTAGAGTCAACAGGACTTTATGGGTAAAATTTATTTTGATAAAGTCTCACAGTGTTATACAGTAATATTCACTGATGACGCTTCGAGCACAATTGATTGCTGTTCATAATCATATCAAGGCACTACTCACACAACTTCGTTTATATAACTCCATTATTTTTCATCGCTTGATTTGATTGGTAGTAGTATTTTCCATATCTCTGATATGAGTGATGAGTCATTCCTATTGCATGTGTTGGGTGTAGATTCTCTGAACAAACATTCAGTAATCAGCTTCTTCTATCTGTTTCATTTCATCATTTAGGTTTATTTGTTGTACTACTTAGTGCTATTGCTCGGTTTGTTAGACACTTAATTAAGCCTGCCTTAACAGTTAACGGATGAGATGAATTAAAGTCTAAATATCTATTGGAATGCGTTGGTTTTTTATAAACGCTGGTGTGCAGTTCACCTTGTTCTGTTCGTTTTATTTTACAATCTAACATAGCTAATTCTCCTTGTTCATTTTCTGATTCAAATGTAAATTTTATTCCTTTTACTAGTGAGTCTATATGTGTGAAGAAGCTAGAGATCTGTTCTGTTTCTAATCAGTAGATCGGGGTTAGTCAGATTGTCAGAACATAAGAATTCAGCTAAGGTTAGAATGATTGACCCTGCGAAGATAAGCAATTTAGAAAAAAGCTCAGCAATTGCACTGCATGCGTTGACACACAATAGGGTGGGAGAGGGGTATAATTCTAAAAAGTAATATGGGTATCAATATCGTTGTTTTTCATTCATTGGGAAATACAAAAAAACTTTATTTATAATGAGTAATATGGGTAGATGGAGAGGTTGATTACTGAATCTTTGTTCATGGAATCTACACCCAACACATGCAATAGGAATGACTCATCACTTTTACGAGAAATATAGAAAATATTACTGCCAATCAAATCAAGAGATGAAAACTAACGGAATTATATAAACGAAGTTAGAAAGTTGTATGAGTAACTTGACATGATTATGAGCAGCAATAAATTGTGCTAGAAGCGTCATCAGTAAATATTACTGTATAACATTGTGAGACTTTATCAAAATAAATTTCACCCACAATGGAATTATATTCTACCACAGTGCCCAAGTTCTATTCTTACATCAGTGGACAGAACTTGCTACTGAGTTGTGGCTCTTTCACCTGGGCTCAAACCAAATGTCTCCTCTTGGCACGTTTGCCATTTTCAAGGCTACCAGGTTTGTAGATGCTGAGTTCCATAGTTACTTGGACGTCACTACTCAATTAAATGCAGGTACCTGTAGCTGACGGGTCGCAAATAGTCCAAAACTTAGTTTTTTAATTCCATTGCTAGTAATCAATAAACATCAGATTTTTTCTGTTTGAAGTGATTTTATACAACAGCAGTATGATAAAGAAAGTCGTGAGTTATTCTGCTTTGTTGTCATATGGGAATATTTCGGGGAACTTTATACTAAAGCAATTCACTTTAGAGGACTTAACAGCTTTTCACATAAAAACCAGACACTCGTGTGATACCAGCACTTGAGTTTTGATTCTTTAGCTGCTTTGATACTGAGTTATTGGTCTATAGCATTATCCATAAAGGGTCGTCTATTCATATTTTCAAATATTGGTTTATAGGGATTTGATTGGTTGGTTACAGGATTTCATCATGAGCTGACATCGGTTAGAAAACCAGCAATGGAGTACTGAACATCTGTTTCGTCCTAGTTTGGGACTCTTCCTTAGCACGCACCCACTGGGGTAACCAGGACCTCCTGGTTACAATGTTACCTCGTAGACCATTAAGCCACTGGGACCCGTTCCAATGGCCCATGAATTCCAACTTCCGCGAATTCACGACAGCGCGAACGGTAGCCAATGTCTTCAGCGAGTATTTGTCCTCACACCCAACCAGATGCACACTACTGGTCACGACGTCCCACTAGAACCCCAGGTAACTACCTACCTGAATAGGGTCATTGGGTCGGGTCCCAGTGGCCTAATGGTCTACGAGCTCGCCTTGCATCCTGGGTGCGTACTGATGAAGAGTCCCAAATTAGGATGAAACAGCTGTTCAGTAGTCCCTGCAGGTTTTCCAATGGTTCTCTAACCGATATCAGCTCATGACGAAATCCTGTAACCTTCGTATTTATTTTTTGAGAGATTTTCACCTGAAAGCTTCAATTTATTTGTCAATATACTCATCTTCTGTCCACTGTCTCATTGTTACTCATTTAGTGTGGGGTGTGACCACCTTATGCTCGCAGCAAAATCCAATAAATCAGTCACATTTAGAATTAAATGAGTGCCTGAAAGATGCTTTTCCATACCTTTTTGCTTAATGGCTTTCACTCAGTCTTATGTACTTGTCTTTTCTCCATGTAGTGTAGGTATTTTTAAGCCTGTAGGGGCTTTTTTGTTAAACCTTGTGTACGTGTTCATTTTGTGACATTTGTCACATAATTTTATTGATTCTGTATATGTTTACTGTGAAGAACTGTTGATAAAGTGAAGACAAGAAAGCTAAATTATAAACTAACTCTCAATATCTGACTTTGTTAAGTTCTTTGTCAAAATCAACCTTTCATAACGATTAATTTGTAAAAAAAATAAATTAACCGGATTACTGAGTCTAGCTCACTGACACGCGAACCAGTAACGCCTATCACAGTCCATATTAAAATTTTCGATAAGTACGTGATTTATCACCACCACCTATGTTGTAGGATTTCTGGTAAAAAAAAACTGGTGGTGTTTTAAACGTATGTCTAGACGGAAACTAAGAGAATGAAGTATTCTACCCGTCTTGGTTATCGATATGTATTGACAGACTGGAAATTACAGTTCTGATTCCTAGTAAACTGCATTTCGATTTATACACTACCGCCTTAAACGATTTAATATACATGGAATGTTTGGTTATTGGGACGCTTTAAGAAAGATAAGACAGCTGATACAACATGGGTAAAAAATAAGTCTTTTATTGAATGAGATACAAGGATACGACATGGTTTTCGAAAATGTTTTATACAAGTTATTCTTTTTGTGGTGGTGAGACAAGAATAACACCGTCACCTCGGATGAAAAGCATGGGTATTGTACGCTTTGTTGTCTAAAACAGAGATGATAGCATAGGGAAAAAAATTGAATTACCTTATAAACTTCTTCATATGTCTCCTCATCAATCTCTAATGTTGTTACTGTCTCTTCAACATTTCCCAAGATCATATTCAGATGAGAGTCAAAAGCCTATAATAAGAAAACAAATAGCCAGCCATTCATATTTTTAGAAAGGTGAATTTACATTAGAAACAAATTGTTTAGAAAATAGAGACATCGTATGGTGCACATCACTTTGAGTTGTAGCAGCCTCACACTGACAAGATGATCTCAAACAGTGTTATGTGAGCATCTACGGTACAGACTAGTAGAATTCATAATTCCCACTTCGTATGGCCGTGAAATGCAGGAGATATTCCACTGTGGTTAGCTAAAGTTGACTGGACATAAATGATTTTTTTCCACTGTGTGATATATTTAGTAAACCACACTGCCCAAGTTTTTCATATATATATATTAGTGATTTCAACGCAAAGCTGCCCATTATAATTTATGCAAATGTTCAAATATATGGAAGGGTTAACATAGCTGACCAACTTTAATCCTTTTGGGTAGTCAGATGCTTTCTGCTTAATTGACATCTGAATCACTTACGAATTTGGCCTCATTTCAAACAAGATTAACTGCTACACTACTTCCTTTTGGAAGGTAGTAGGGTAAGATATCACAGTAATTAATATTCAACATTTTTCAACAAGGCTCCTTTTTGTTTTAGAACTTCGCTGTTAGTGAATGTGGGTTACACCATCTACCTTCGTCTTATGCTTTATTTTACTCTAAGTGCAGATGAAATGTAATAGAGTAATCATATCAAATATGCGGAGATTTTGACTATCTAGGGTTACGTTTTATTTGCTGTTAGTGAGTAAGAAACTGTACAGACAACAACCATTGCCAAACTTGACATAAGTGCGTCGTCATTGTTGCTTTTATAAGACGGTGAAGTGGGTCAATAAGCAAAAAAATAATTCCCATACTAATACTAAAGATAGAGTGTTAAGCATTTGTGCATCCACATAGCTGACTTTTCAGGAAAATGGATACACTCTTAGTAGCAATATGGGATCAACCATATTAGTTTTAATATGCCCTAGTTAAAACCAATTTACTTGCTATAAAAACAGCAGCAGAATATTGTGTTCATCTTCATAATAGTAGACATACACTATCAAAGAGAAACAACGGGTGCTACCATTGCAAACCAAGTGAAGATTATGCCGTTCTTTCGTAGGAAACTCAAGAAACATAGTGGATAGCTTTAAGAAGCTCAGTGGAAATCAGATACAGTTTTACGGGAAATTTTCAAGTATTGGTTTTGTAGGGATCTTGTTTAATTGCATCGAGGATTTCATCATGAGCTGACATCAGTTAGAAAACCACTGGAAAACCTGGGAGTACTGGACAGCTTTCGTGAATTTGCAGAAGTTAGAATTCAAGGATCATTGGATCGGGTCCCAGTGGCTCAATGGTCTACGAGCTCGCCTTGTAACCAGAAGGTTCTGGGTTTGAACCCCGGCGGGTGCGTACTGATGAAGAGTCCCAAACTGGGACGAAACAGCTGTCCAGTACTCCCAGGTTTTCCCGTGGTTCTCTAACTAATGTTAGCTCATGATGAAATCCTCTATGCAATTTTATGGGAAACATTTCTCAACTTAACTTTAGTTGGTAATCTGTACTGTTTTCGTCTGAACGAGTTCATCAGATCCCAGGACAAATATGATACACATATCTGCTTCTTTGTTTTCGCTACATGATGATTGCCTGAAGGAAGTTCAATCAGCCTCAATTCAGATACTTGCTATTTAGGCATGTAATAGTATATGAACTACATCTGGAGACAAGATTTAAGATATGCCAATACATCCTAAGCTGAGATAGACAAGTGTTCGACTGTAAAATACGTCAATAACTTCTTACCATAAGCTACGCAAAAAAAGTCACTGGGAATATACCTTAGGTTGATCAATTAATGACTTCCGTTATTTTTGGTTGTGTATGCTGCTAGCTACATAGTACCTATTTGTATTGCGTCACTCTGACCTTTGTATGTGCGTAACTATACTTAAAATATTTGATGTCTGAATGTAAAAATATGGCGGTAGACATTTAGTCAATGAATTTGAAGACCTCTTCAAACAATTTTTCATGGAAAAACACCTAAGGCAATAGAAATTAAAACACATCAAAAAGCTTCCGCCAGTGTACTGCTTTGCAAAACTCTGCTGTTAACACATCCCATCATCAAATGAATGAATAGTCTAGTCTTAGAGTTAACCTGATATGAGGATCTATATTTAGTCTATTAATTGATTTAATCCTATTCAAATAACGTCTGCAAGCGAATATGGCATCGAGATTTAGACTATCATCCACTGACCCTATCTATTTTAAATCACGCCATTATATTATGCGCTAGTTGATTAACTGGTGAATACATATCCCCTCTCTCGCTGTGTTGTCTTTTGATCAGTGATCGCGGTCGTCTTAGAGGACGTGCGATTTAATAAAAATAGCCATCAAATGTGCAGTCTATCATTTAGAAATACTGTTTGCATAACATCATTATAGTCGGCGTAGCAATCAAACGGCACTTTCTGAACGATCAGGCGATGGAAACGATTTCACAGCACAATTATCAGTTTACACTAATAGAATGAAAATTAGTGACGGCAGCAATCAATACGCTAGTCAGTTTTCGCCTAAAATTACTTCACAATTTCCAGCTTTAAAGGACAGCAAATCATAACTAGGTATAACAAGTGAAAATATATTGATCCGCCATATTACTCATCACTATTCACTTTTTGATGACGCTAACTATAGCAACTACCCTTGAACAACTAATCAGGATTAGAGAGCAATGAAAACCGTTAAAAAACTTGACCATCGATCATAGTGTCATGCAATTCTTCGATAATTCTGATCTTGTTGTTTAATCTACCCCGAAATCCCATTTGTCCCAAAACAGCAGTTGTGCTGTCAAGCTTCCTCTGCGTATGCATACTTTGGTAACTTCAAATAGTCCGTTAATCACCAAGTAATCAGGCGCCTGATCTACCTGGGACTCGTTGAGCAAATAAACAACAAGAGGCGTAGTCAGACTTAGTTATATCACCTGTAAATCTGAGTGGTTATCTTACGGCATGTAGGCTTATAGCGGATAAAAAGGTTCATTTAACTGTCGGTTTACTTAATCAAAATCTATGCCTGAAGACTTGTGAATAGATGGATAAAGCCATCCACTAAGGTGAAGCATAATGTCACAGTGTATGCGCTATAGCTCACATAATGTATTGACACGTAGATAATATACTGCGGATGTCTCCACATGGTTTCCGTCTGCATGATGTTCACTCAAGATCTGAGTAAATTGTAATAAAATTATGAGAAGCGCTACTCTGAAGTTTAATTCCCAATCTTTACGCCATTAGCCCGACCCAAAAAAATCAATCATGAACATTTCTGTATACCAACAAGTGAGTATAATTCTACTCATGTCATTCAATCAAAAAAGTATTGAAAGCAATACTAAATATCAATCAGTTAAATTTCAAAATGAGTCAGTAGCTTATTACATAAGAATTCGTGCGTAAAAAGTACTCACGTGCAAAACACCACGCAATTCCCGATTACGTTTCATCTTTACATAGATTTTTTCATCCAGACTTAGTCTGATAAGGTCAAGAGGCTCTTCAACTAGCACAGGCTGATCAACCTATGCAGCAAATAAGATATTATTATTCGAAGATACTTCTTCCTCCTCTCGATCTTTATTGTTCTCCATGTCCTTGAGTTGACTACCGCGCCAATGCTCAATATCTTTGTGGTGTGGTTGCACGTGCCTGTTAGTTTCTCGGTCCACTTTTTTTGTATTACGAGATAGTCCTAGATGTCATGCGGATTCTAGAGCAGGAGATCGAGGGTTTTATTTCCACAAAATGTGGTCAACATAAACAGGATCTTTTGATTTTGTAAGGCAAATGTGATATATTCTAGTATAGATATGCTGTTAGAAATGACAGGTGTCACATTTAATAACTAGTAGTGCCGCTTGAGTTAAGTAGCTAACCACAGTGCATATATAACCTAACCATAGGATAGTTGACCTTAGGTAAGTGTTTCCTTATAACCAAGTCAAGTGTGACTACTGATCTCTGTTGCTAACACATGGCTAACTTGTACGCTTCTTACTAGCATATGGAAGATAACGTTGCCTTGGTAGCAGCTATTTAAGAATGTATCATCTTTAGTGCCTCTTTAAGAACCGGAATTAATCACAGAGTTCATTAGGTCTTTATTAATACCTCTTCTATTGCTGCCGTTTCCACAATGGTTGGGAATTGACGTAATGAACTCACGAGCAACAATGAGCCATGGGTGGTATCGTAAGAACTACTTCAAATAACTGTTTTTGCTTCGCATCACATGTTTAGTGTCGACACAGTCCACTGATCAACACCAAATGCTAAGTGTGGTCACGCCAAAAAGATTGATTTGGTCGTAAATATTCAGGGCTGCTTCATCTACACTCTTTCGTACACCGTCTATGCCCACTTCATAGTTTCTAACGAGGAACGACATTTGCTTCTTTTACAGCTTGTATGTAGGAAATGTGAAGCTCTTTTACCTCCTTTCTGAGAACTCTAATGGTACCTGTCAAACATACTGGATCTCTGCCGACCACTAAGAAGAGGTTCGGCAGACCCGACCGGCTCTTTCAGTTTGTATTACTGTTCTTCAGTGTAAATTTAATTTTTTAGCATACACTACTCTATAGTTCACCCTGAAAATACTCCAAATCTCTGAAAGCAGTGGTCTATAACTAGTAATCAATTCGGAATGAATATGCTGCTGAAGCTTAAATATTTTCAGTTCTTATATTCTGGATATCCAAAGATGACTTGATGTACAGTGGCATACGGTTGGAATATGATAAATATTCTGTTTTCGTCTGACACCCCCTTGACTCAGTGTTTTCTGTGGAGATATTTAACGTGGGTAGCAGTAGTAGAATGTTGGGTTCTGCTATGTTCCATGAGAAACCCTTTTTGATAATGACACATGTTTAACCACTGTCCTCTTTACCACTGTATAGATATCTGTAAGCCTATAAACTCTACCAAACACAGAATGCGCTATAAACACTATGATGACTCAGTTGGTTGTTGGGGATTAAGGATTACAGAGGGGCCAAACAAGTGACAACTAAATTTTCATGACATATTAGGTTCCGCTTCTCTATCAAACGATAGTGAATGATGAATGCAATTCAAAATGTGCCACCATGTACTCACACTTCGCTTGCCTACCGTCGTGTCTGGTAAATTTTTGTATAAACATGCCCGTACTTATTGTGCGTTTTAGTTGGGTAAGAACATTTTGATATTCCTGTTTTCTTTTCATATACTTATGTACACACTCTCTTTATCAGGGAAGGTGTCGATAATGCAGAGTCATTACTGCAGGCTTATGCGTACTGCAAACATTTAGTGGTCGTAATGTGTGATGAGTTCTAGAAACAATTAGTGCACTATTGTTTTTACAGTCAGCAGAATAAAACAGTTTGTCTAGTGACAGCCATAACATTAGCTGCCATCTAGTGGTCAGCCAAAATACCGACTAGAGTCCAACATAAGGTGATTTGCGCTCACGAACACCTCATCATTAATGTGTTTGACTGAATTACTTAATGAACATATTTCGAATCTTACTAGGAACATGAGTTTCTTCAAGATTGCTGAAATGCTTTTGTGGATACTACCTACTGATTTAGAAGAAATACTATATTACACATACTGCTTCCTTCAAAAATGTTACTGATTTGCATATTCACTCAAAAATTCACATTTAGGTTAGTCCTTTATGGTCAACGGTGCAATTATTAATTTTACTGTTGCTACGCCAAAGGCAGAATATGATTATTGAACGACCGAAAATGTCGACTGTTTGTCATCCATATTTTGAATGTTGCGCCCAATTGTTGCACTAGAAAAATTTGTTTTCTGCGGAAAAACCACATAATATAGTTTCTGTAAGAATTCTAGCACCATTATAACATTTTATTGGGCGTATAAATTTCTAAAGCCGTGTATTAATTGGGAAGGAGTACTTTTCTGGGAAACCACTTATATAGGCTGCTTGAGGGAATTTGAACTCGCTTCCAGAGTGTTTTGAGTAGGTGTAACACCTGCCATTGGTGTGTGGCTATCAGTCCTGATAGACCTAAGCGCTAAATACATTAGCTGCTGACTCTTCAGCCTAGTTCACCTAAGCTGGTAGCCAGGCTGCTCATATCACCACCTGAACAACCGTATGGGGAGTACAACACTTAAGGCAGATGAAACATCCATTTACTGATGATGATTTGGATTGTACGAACGGGTAAGCTTACATGAAATGCATGCCATTTTTACAGACACGATCAATTGCGTTATAAATCACAATTGTGAACTAGCAAAGATCATCACTTTTTCAAAAGTTCACATCGTCGAATTATAGTACAAGCAATCAGAACAGATTCTTATAAATGTTAAATTGTAAAACCTTCACTGAAGTCAATATTGAAGTTGAGCGACAACAGAAAATTCGTTCCATTTCCTGATGATCGTTATGGCCAGTTGATAAACAACATATATTTGAGTGAGTGCTATGCCTCCACGTGATTAAACGCTATTTCAAGAAGAGAAGAAAATCCTAGGCAGCTGCAAAATGGTATAAAATGTAATTATGGATAATACATAATTGGAAGTATATTCACAAGACGAATACAAGAAGAAGCTATAGAGTACTTGAAATGATAGTACACAGTTGCAATGTATGATGCTAACCATATTGGTCTTACCGTGAAAAACTTTGACGTTTTCGAGGAAAACAATTATTCTCAAAAATGGATGTCGTTTTCATCAGAGTTACCAAACTTTATGCGAGCGAACAGTGTGAATGAAAAGTGAAAATTTCAGCTATATTGAGGGTCTAGGGAGTTAAGGTGAAACAGGGTATAATAGTAATTAGATAAAAGGATTGTTGTGAAGAATATAAGTGATATTTCAGACAGAAGTGACTTGAAAGATTGGAACCTGTGGTATCGCCCTTACTAGAAACTCGGTACAAATGTGAACTACTTGGATGACGTGACCGCGACATACATGTAGATATATTTCATGCGAAGAAAGCTAGGTGCAGTCACACCCGGAGCTTATTTAAGCCTGCGTAAACATTTACACGACTGCACTTTGAGGTGTGTGATTTCATAACTCTATCATTATTGGAAATAGGCGTATTCATGTCAGAAAATATTCAGGAAAGGTTTTCATAATTGAGTTATTTTGTTTGGGATAAAAACACTGTGATACAGCATTATTTACTGTTCCATCAGCTTTTTTAATCACACAAAATTATTTTATGGTGGAGTGATATTCTACTCCATTGATTCCATTTTTATTTCAAAGGATAGCAACAAAATAGGTCATCGAATAAAAGGGAACTAGGTCTTCTGTAAGCCACCCAGATGTGACCTGGTCACCACTTATAGTATATGCGAGTGACCGGAATCATCTCTGATTCAGATGATACGAATAGCAGGTTATTATGGCCTGTGTTAATCCTTTCGACATATATCTATGCGAAGATCGAATTTTTCTTTGAATACGTTCATCAGTAGAGTTTATTGTACTTGATCGGGTAGGGATTTCCATTTGCAGACCACTCTACCAGGGAATCTGGATTTCACAACCATTTTTTTCGACTGTGGACCTCATCTTGTCCATGCACAAAGTATCGCTCATTTTGGGCCCAATATTCGAGTCGGCTCCCCTTTATTCGCCCTAGAGTTACCGCTCATAATGCTCTTTACCAGTAGTCTGACATTCCGCATTCTGTTAGTGGGCCTCAAGTGAAATCGCTCTTATGCCCGGATGAGTCTCCTCTGTGTCACCTTTGTGCTCACTACACCTTTTTACTGGTTTACTTTTTAATCATTATTTTCGATTATTTGCTCGCTTTCCCTAAAACTACATAGTTGCCATTAATTATGTTATTAATGTCTCACATTTCAGCCACACCGTCTGAGTGGTGGGTGAGAAAAGGGTTAGCCACAGTCATCGTAATGCTGCGGTCTGAACACACTATATATTTCAAATAAATATAACTGACCTCTATGGGTACTCCCCTTGGCTTCCACCGATAAACTACACATAGTTGCACTACAAATTAGCAACCGTTATATCACTTTCAAGAAGCTAGCAGGGCAAAGTTGGATAATTTGACGTCATCGCTGATTGGTAGTTATTGGTGTCTAAAGTTTAACTTGGCCGCTAGCAGAAATAAATCAATTTGATTTCCACTAGCTTTCTAAAAGGAAATTGGATATCGGAAAGTATGACCTTGTAACGTTTTCGAAGCTGATGTGTACACTGCGCAATTGTAGCAAAATAAAGACTTTTTTGGGTAGAATACCTGTCACTATTTTCTTTCCTTCCCTTAGGGGTTTTTGAGAGAATACGTTAAATTTCTCCAAAATTTTTACCTTAATTTCTATATTACGTTGCCTATAAATTTATCTGTGTGCGTCGGTGGCACACTGGTTAGGACTCTGGCCGACCATGCACATGGTCCGGGTTTCGATCCCCTGCCGGCGCACACCCGATATCAATGGTCGGCCTGCAAAATTTGGGCTACCGATATCATATGCTGAAAATTCCATACTTGTACCACAAATACTGTGTGGTTTCAAGCTATTATAAAAAGAAATAAAACCACCCAGCTAATGCTGAATGTGGGCGCACTGCAGTACATTAGGACAC